CTTCTGGCTGAACGAGGGGTCTGTGCTGTGGCCAACGTCACTTGTTGCACCTGGAGGAACACTTCTGGGAATGCAGACACTCGTTTACATGAAACCGTGGAGCAAGCCACCTGGCTTAGACAGGCGGCTCTTTCAACAGGATGTTTCTTTGAGTTCTTTGATTTTGAGTGGTTTGGGTCTTGGGGACCATGGCTCCGAAGTGCATTCCAGACACTGGGAATTCTCCTGCTTCTAACAGTCACAGAAACTTCCCTGTGCTCCGTCCTCTCTCCAAAGTTTTAAATGCATGTTCGAAACCACTAACCGTCAAGCAAATGATCTCCCTAAGGTTGGAATATCAGAAAAGGAACGAATAACCCCTGAAGCAACTGTGAGGCTGAACTCGTGACCCTGTGACCACCATAGGAATTCCACAAAAAACATCATGACCTAGGACTGTCCCACGGATCATTCAAGGCAGTGAGAGCGACAGAGTGGTGGCTCAAAATGGCACTGATGCCTTACGTTTTGATCACGTCTCTCAGGAGTCTGATCAAAAGGGAGGAATTGCTGGGGCGCCTGGGTGGCTCAGTCGGTTAAGTGTCTGACTCTCGACTTCTGATCTCATGGTTTGTGAGTTTGAGCCCCACGGTCTCACGGCTGACAGTGCAGAGTCTGCTTGGGATTCTCTCTCTCTTCTCTCTCTCTTCCCCTCCCCCACGCTTTCTCTTTCAAAATATACAAGTAAACATTAAAAAAAAAAAAAAAAAGGACAAATTGTTAAAAAAGAGACAACAGGCTCCAAATGGAGTCACTTGTGCCAAGCCCCAAATCAGCAAATGGAGACTGAAGACCTTAACCTAACTGTAGAGTAGGCGTCTCCTGGGAATGTGACCTCTAACCCATCAATCTGGAATTTCCTGGTCAGCACTAGTGAGGTCATCTGCCCAACGGACAGGCCCCCTCCACCCCCCCGCAGGAAGGTGACCTTGCCTGAAACAATCTGTCCTTTCCTTGTCCTTCCTTCTTCTGCGTAGAAAAGGCTTCCATTTTGTACAGCATCTCAGTCCTTTCTGTCTGCTGGAGGGGGTGCCGCCCAAATCATGAATCGTTGCATTAAAAGCCGGTAGGATTGAGTAAAAAGCCAGTAAGATCTTTAAAATTTCCTCAGCGAACACTGCTTTCCAGCAGTGTTCTCTCAGATGTGTGAATTACTACCTTCGTTCTATAGACGGGGTAGCGCACTGGGAGCCTAGGGGTTCATTCAAGGCCGCACGGCTGGGAAACGGGAGGTCTGGGTCTCAAGCCCAGTCGTTCCCCGTGGGAACACAGAAACCCTGGTGGAAGAAAGTGCCATGTGTGGCTGAGAATCGCTGTGGCCCTTTGCCTTGGCTCTTCGTCTCGGCTTCCCAACGAGACTTCAAGGGGACGGCCCTCCCAGCGGGGCAGTCTCTTCCAGAAGTGTCTGGCAGGTTAGCAGCAGGGAGGACCACTCACTGAAAGGACCTCCCCGCCGCCCCCTGGGCTGGGACTTACATCAGAGCCGCCCTGAAGGGCTCCCAGGTGAAGGCGCAGCTGGCCAAGTGGCAGAATGACTGAGGCCCCGGATGGTTTGACATGGTCGCGAAGCACAGAGTTGTGGCTTCTTGTTCACCACAAAGTCTCCAAAGTTCTGGACCTTCAGTGCCACCCATTAAGGTGGTGAGCGCTGATGCAAGCGCCTTGACTTTCAACAAATAGGTGTAAGTGGGACTGGTGCTGTCAGCTGCCGCCACCCCTTCCGCTTTCCCGCAATAGAAACACTAGTGCTTCGGCAATAAAACAGCATCAGGTCTCGGTAGAACGTTCTGACTATAAACCTCATGCAAAAATAACGTTATATGCCAATGAACTAGTAAATTGCTCCCGGGGATTCCCCTTGATGGGGAAAGGCAGCTGAACCAGATGTCTGGCTGTGCCTGCATGGCCGTGTGGCTCTGGCGGCCCCTCCTCCTGCCCTGCTGCCTCCTCTCCACCAGGACCACCTCATTTCAGGCCCTAGTCACCTCTACTCTGATGTATCACGACAGCTGCTTATGGCTCTCCTGGCTTCCGTTCTCTCCACTCCCATCCGTTCTCTGATGGGAATGAGAATGGGTTTGCCAGGGTGATCCTTCTAGAACACAGATCAGATGTCTTGCTCCTGCCGGTGATTCTCCGCCATTCTCTGACAGTGGCCTTCCCCTGCACCTAGATCTAGAGCCCCTCCTGGGGATGCGCTCTCCCGCCCAGCACCGTCCTGTTCTAGCTGGAATGTTCTGGAACCCACAGAGCTCACCGTGCCCTTCAGTGTCCTCATGGCCCCTAGGGAATTTTTCTCCTTGCTAACCCATGGAGTCTTTGAGCACAGTCCCTCCTTCTGTTCCCTCTGTGTCTGATCCCCATACCCTCCACAAGGGGTGGCCTGTATCTGCCTTCATAGCTCTGCAGGCAGCTCTGGGCCCCTCTGGGGAGCCAGGACTGAGAGTGGGCTTCTCTACACTGGGAGTACGTTCCGTCCCACCAGCCTCCGAGCTTGGCTGTGGCCGGGCATTCCAGGCACCCTTTTCCTCACAGTGTGGTTTCCACAATATATTATAATTCCCTGGAATTATAATATATTATAATTTGTATTACTGTATAATATAATTATACAATATTATATTGTATGGCTGGACTGCTGCAGACGGGCACAGAAACACTACCTCCTTCATTCTAGAAACTCTATCTCTACTAATGCAGCCTGAGGCTGCACTGATTTCTCTCAGCAGCCACAGCAGGCTATAACTCACCTTTAGCAGTGAGAACTCCCCCACACTTCTGTGCCCACCATGCTGGTATTTCCCTAGTGCAGGACTTTATAATTCTCCCGCCAAATCAGTGCTACTTTGGCAACGACAGAACTAATATTTATCAAGTACCTGCTTCTTACTTGGGCATTCTCACCTCTAACCTTCAAGACAATTGTGCAGAGAACCACCAGTTATGATTCCCTCTCCTTCTTTCTTACGTTAAAAAAAGGTTTAAACATTTTAATTGTGGTAAAATACATACAATATAAAATGCACCATCTTAACCCATTTTTAAGCATACGCTTCAGCCATGTTACGAACATTCATGCTGTTGTGTGACCAATCTCCACAAGCTTTTCATCTCCCGAAGCTGAGACTTTGCACCCATTAAACAAGTCCCCCCGCCCCCAGCAACCACAATTCCACCGTCTCTGTGACTTTAACTCCTCTCTCCCACAGCACCTTTATAAAGCTCATCTCCATTTTTTCTTTTCTTTTTAAAACAAATAGAAGTAGTTAAGACACTGCCTGAGGCTACATGGCCAGCAAATAGCAAATACCGAGTTGGGACCTGAACCAAGTGTCTGGGCAACCCCTGGATGAGGCCATCTGTTTAACAAACTGGAACCGACCCCAAAGTGCCTCAAAACGACAGGCACGCCCAAGACCGGCTGCGGAACAAATCTGAGACGCGCAATGGCAACTGTGGAGAAGGTCAACTCTTCTCAGTAACTGCTCCCAAGTTAAGGCCTCTGCAAAGTTGAGCTGTGCTGAGTAGAAGCAAAGGGGCTAAAGCAAATTCAGCAAATAAAGGTAAATAAGCGCTTAAGCACCTTCATGAGGTGGAGCAGAAGTAGTGCTTTGCAGCGAGGAGCCATCGGGGTGGGTGCGCTTGGGGGCTGAGACCATCTGGAAGAAAGGCCGGTTCTGCACCCCCGGCTCTGCATATGGTGGTGAGGCGCATGGGCTCTACCCAAGCTGCCATGACCTCAATTTCCTTGTCTGGAAGATAGGAATCGTACGAGCACTGACCCCAGGGGGCTACAGTGAGGGTTCAGCAACCCGGTTTGCGTGAAGTGCGCAGAACAGAGCCAGGCACAAAGGAAGATACTATTACTATCAGGAGAACGATCATGCGATGCTTCTAGCTTGGGTGACTCATTCCGTGCATCTCCATGTGCGCCTTCTACGGCCCAGGCCCAGGATCCTGAGCTGGGAGTCTGTGTGTGCGACGCTGAATCCCCACGGTTTCCTTACACACCCCAGGGTCGTTCCCACGCATAAACGGACTTTCATATTCCAATCAGACGCCGGGATGTTTCTGTTGGAAACGACGGACAAGGACACACTTCCTGAGCACCCGCCAAGGTGCGGTCCAGCAGCGCTGGCCACCAAGAGGCCGCTGGCCCACGCAACTGCTGCAAGGTGGAAAGCGGGGACCGCAGATCCGAGAAGGATTTTCATCCCACGGGGGTCGTGCCTGCCCAGACCACCCAAGGCAAACCGCTAAGCTCTCCTGTGCCTGCTGCTACCCCGCTGTGACCGAGTGGGGACAGGCCACAGCCTGCGGCCTCCTGGGGGTGAGAATATCCATCCCTGCTCTGGGCGTGTCTTCTCACTAACAAAGGCAAGAAACCGGAAAGCCTTTCTCTCCAAAGCAGCAGCACAGTCTGTGAAAATGGAATGTGTTCTGTGGAGTCCTGGGGCGGGGGGGGGGGAAGGAAGAGGGTCTGCAGGGGGGCCCGATCTTATCCAGGCAGCCGAGGGGGTACCGTGTAGTGTTCTGTGCTGGACACGGTGCCGGGTACTTTCCCCAAAGCATCTGCAAAGACTTAAATACCAGCCGGGAGGAGGCTGCGCACGAAGGCAGAGATAAAGACTTCTCTGCGGCGTGAATCACTGCTACGAAGTCTGGAGCTTAACGGCCGCCACGGGGGCAGAGACGGACATGTAAGAGATTGGTTAAGACAAAGGAAAAGCAGCGGCCACTTCACAGTGGGTCCTCAGCACGAGAGTCTGGGACGCTGGGACCACCCCAAACACTACCAAGCAGAGTGCTTCTAGGGTGTCAGAGAAAGCATCGACGTTGATAGTTGTATGTAAAACAACACGAGAATAACTGGCCTGCTGACTCAGAGAGAAAGGTCTCGCGAGAGGACAGAAATGGCTGTGCTGTGGTGACTTTGAGTCCGAGGCCGTGGAGTATCCTACCTGGTTTGCTCTTTCAAGGTCCGTCATGATCATTTCAATTTCGTCAGCCCTAGGAAGGCGAGAGAGAGAGAGAGACAGCTGTTAGTTGGCAGTGGGTGGGCTCAGGGTGACCACGGCTCCCAGCCAGGCACCACGACCTGCAGTCACACGGGCCAGACAGAGCCCCTGGTGCTGGGGGAGCGAGGGGTCGTGTGGATCTGTGGGGGGCTCTGCCGCCCATTGGGAGGAGGTACGCTTGGATTGTGCGGAAGGCCGAGCCATGGAAGACAAGTGCACCATGTCCTTCTAGGAGAGGGAGACAGATTCTCCTGGGGGAGGAATCTGGGAAGGCTTCAAAGGAGGTGATGTGTGAACTGGGTTTTGAAGGATGTGTAGGAGTTTGCCAGGATGGAGAGAACCACGAAAAGGTGGAGGAGAGGGGTGTTGGAGGATGGAAATAGAGGTTGGGAGACTGTGGTCTGCTCCATAAACTGCCTAAGTTCATGGTCGCCACCTGGCCGGCTCACACACAGGGAGTTGCTAGTCTTTTTCTTCTTCTTCTTTCCCATTTTGAAGTACTTCCCTTTGAGTGCTTTGAACTTCGCAAACATATGGTTCCAAGATCATGAGAGACAGGGGGTGCTGAGTGCTAAAAAGGGGCTGCTTCCAAAAGCCTGAGGTAGGTTACAACAGGGTGCCCAGGCAATCATGGCCCCAACGCCCCTGTCAGGAGGCCAAGGCTGAGCCTGGAGGCCACCGAGGAAGGCTCAGCAGAAGATGGAGCGGAACATGACAGCCACAGATCCTGGTTGGGGTTCGGGGCCCGCTCCGGCAGGGGACCCCTGACTCTACTCCATGTGGACCGGAACCCTCTGTCGCCTATAGGGCCCAGTCCCCTGCTCTGTGCTCTATGCCAGGCCCCACCCCACCACAAAGCTCTGCCCACCCTTCAGCCCCAGGGCCCCGTGCCCAGAGGGCAAATACCACCATGGGCCCATGTGAGCCTGTGCGGCGGCATCCCTGGCTTGGCCTCCACTCCTGGGACCCTCATCTCCTACTTGTGCCCCCAGTCCCCAGCACGTCCCAAATCCTCCCAGCCGTTCCGTCTCGGCACAGGTTTGAGCTTACAGGGTAGAGGTGAGGTCCCCATGCGCTGGGAGCTGTCTGAAGGCCACGGTCTCCTTCTCTGCCATCCCTGGAGCTTCAAAGAGCTTGGCGTCGGGCCTGGCTACTCCCTAGGGCAGCTCAGGGCACCCTGAACGGGCCCAACTTGGAGAGGGCTCTTCTGTCCCTGAAACCTGCCTGGCTGGCCCTAGCCACCCACCCCTAATATTAAGAGTTGGCCAAACTGTACTTGGGCCCTGGCTGGTCTGGTTTTTGCTGTTTGCTGCATCCCATGCTCCCTGTGGCCCGGAGGCTTTCCAGGCTGTAGCCGCGCACTGATCTGAGGTAGCCATATCAGTGCCCAGCAGCCTGAATGGAGTAACCGATGCCCTGTGATCGGGTCCAACGCTCCTTATACCTGTTTGAAATAGTATCCTGCTTTCATACTGGTCTGGGGAAAAAAGTCCTAAACAACTCATAAAATGGCTTAGTGACAGGAAGCTATTTTTAGGGTGGCTTTGTGGAGAAGGCAGCATCTCTGGAAGACCCAACACCCAACGGGGGCCCCTGCAGTCAAGAGCTGGGCCCCAGGGAGCGGGCCGGGGCGGCTAAAGTTATGAAACACCTCAGCGCATGATGTCAACTGGAAACCACCAAGACCGCACAGAAAGATGGCAGGGCCATGGAAAAGAGAGTCCACTGACTACAGAGGTAAAGAAACCAATGTAAGCACTGAGGGTCTGGAACACAAGTGCATGACGGTCAGTACAAAGAGGGGTTGTCTGACCACCTGCCAATGACGTGCAAACCTCGCTGGGGTCAAGACGAAATAGTTAATGAACCTTTCCTAAGGCAAGTCCCAACTTTAAAAAAAAAAAACAAAACACTTTTTCAAATGTTTATTTACTTTTGAGAAAGAGGGAGCTAGAGTGAGAGCAGGGGTGGGGCAGAGAGAGAGGGAGACACAGAATCTGAAACAGGCTCCAGGCTCCAAGCTGTTAGCACAGAGCCCAACGTGGGGCTTGAACTCACAAACCATGAGATCGTGACCTGAGACAAAGTCAGGCACTTAACTGACTGAGCCAGCCAGGCGCCCCAGGCAAATCCCAACTTTTTAAACAGAGTTTGGAACTTTAATCAGATGGCTATTCATCATGTCTTTACGAAATCCAGACATACACGGTGGATTCCCCAGCTACCGGCATGGCTCCTTCGCTCCCACGACCATCTCCTGACAGCTGCCAGCATCCAGCCCTGGCCCGGGGACTACAGAACGGGCGCATGTACACATGGCTCTTGCATACTTTGCTGGTGCCGCACACATATGGGGGAGGGACGGAAACGCAGAGCCGCTGGGTACCCAGCCCAACTATGCAGGCAACCATGCCTTGCTTCTCTGAGATCCTGAGCCTCTGCCGGTCAGGGTTTCCTCAAATTCTCCTGCAGGGTCTTCCGAGCGCCCACATCTCCTTCCGTCCCTCAACATCACGCAACCTTTGCTTTACACGTGCCGTTTCTCTAGCCTTTCCTGGTGCCTTCCGGTCGGTTCTTCGGTCTGACCCAGATGTGGCTGCACCCACCCTGGAACTTTTCTCGTTTGTTCCTTAGTTTGGTGATTCTGTTTTTCATACCTGGCGTTGCTGCTTCGTGAGGTTCTGGATTACTCCTCGCTCTGCTTCCCGCTGCTGACATCTGGACCACATATGCTGTTGGGTTTGGGGTTTGTCCCCCAGAGGGGTGTTCTGGTCTGGGGCTGGTTGCCCTGGCGGACCGGCTCCTCCTCATCTGGCAGGGATGGTGGAGGGAGGAGAGAAGGCAGGTGCTATGTGTCTCTCAGGATGAACTGGAGCAGGAAGGTGCACAGCAGGTGTTCAGTGCATTTTTGCTGCGTGCAGGCAGGGCAGGACCCCAGGTCCCCCAGAGCCCTCACTGGTATCTCCCCTCCACCGGGAGAAGCCTCTGGCCAGGGCTTCCTCTTTAATTCACAGAGAGAAGCCATATGGGGAGGTGGGGGCAGCCTCCCTGGGTGCAGTTTCCCGGTTCTGGGGGTCTGGAGACGTGGGGCTGACATGTGGCTGCTGGGGAGAGGGGTTCATTTGGCCCACCCTTGCCTGTTTTCAGTCATTCCTCACTTCTTGCCTGGCCGCTGCCAGTGGCCAAGGGGCCGGTTCAGGGTCGGATACACACTGGAGCTAGAGAACAGGGGAGTGCCCAAGGGCCTAGCTTTACCTACAGGCGGGAATGGGCAAGGCTGGCACCTGTGGGGGCTGAGAAGTGGCATCCAGACCCTGCTTGGTTTAGGGGACGTGGGTGGAACTTGGGAGCCTCTTCACAAATGCAGACTCTCTGGATTTCTCCTCAGAAAGTGGACAGTTTTGGATATCTGTGAGTCTACCCAATATCCAGGAGATGGTGCGCCGTCCCCCAGAGATGTCAAGTCACTTCTAGAGAGATTAGTCACATTTAAACAGGAAGGTGCCTTCTTGGCAGGCTGCGGCATTCCCTGGAAATGAATTTCAACTTTTTCCATCTTCTGGTCAGTTTCACTTCGGTTACTAAGCAACCGCTAAATGGACCAAAATATTTAACCTGATAACAACTACCTCGCCTACCTTTCATTCTGTGAGCAACTCTCAGATTTCCAAAGCTTTCAAATGGTAATCACAACAGTGAGTTCTGCTGTTAACGAGTAGGGGGAAGGGGGGGTGCTATTCAATACCAGGTATCCTGATGACAGTGGGGCCTGGGGCTGGAGGGTGGGGTGCTGCAGGTTCCCATTCACAGAATGGACCCGAAACTACAGGAAACAATGGAAGGACCCAGGGAAATCAGGGGCGAGGAAAGGTTCGGGTTCTTATTTTACAAGTCTGTAGGCTCCTGATTCGCTTTTCCAAGGGGGCATACTTCTTAAGAGGTCAAAGGACACACAACTAGCTGGCTCCTGATGTGTGGTCAGGGCTCTGGAGACAGGAAGACATTGGCCTTCGTAGACAAGGACCAAGATGGCGGGCTCTCGAATGCATGCGCTGGTCTCGTCTGAGGACACATGTGCTGCTGAGTCTGCAAATCCACTCCCCTCCCAACAGCTGCCCTTTGCCCCCAACAAAATTAATCCTACGGGACACGCTGCCCTCAGCAGAGAGTACTATGAAAATGACCAGAGGTTAATACTACAACTAGAAATGTTATCTGAAAAGCACAGTAATGAGCAAAATGGCATGTGCTTTCATGGCACGAGTGTCAACAATATTCCAAAGATTTCTCGTCCTTTTCATTCTCAAGGCGCAACGACCACATCGAGGTGTGGAGCCCGACATTAGCCTAGAATCATTTATTTCCTCAGAAGTCCATAATAACTGCACGTATTGTTTGCTCAGCAAAACTATTTGTTATAAAAATTTGGTTCTCTCACCTTTTTACGAGCTGACAAAACAGCTTTTGCTGATCTATTAACCTATGCCGTGCTCTGCTCTGCTCTGACTTCACAGAGCAGATAATTTCTGCTCAGCCTAGAATGTGTTGTTCGTCTGATCCGTTCCCTATGGGTCATTTCGGGGTTCTGTCTGGGCTGGCACACAATTTTTATGAAGAACTTGAACGGACACAGTTGGTGACAGAAGAGAATCTCTACCCACGCTAAAAGCTCCATGTTTGCTCTCATCCTGGCCTCCCAAGCGCTAAGGGATGGCATCAGGGTGAGGTCGGCGCACATCTTAGCCACAGAGCAGCTGGAAAGGCTTCCGGGGCAGCCTTCAGATCAGCGTGTCTTCTTGGACCCAAGTCACAAGCCAGTAGTCTCAACACTAGATTGTAAAGCTCCTGGACACCAAAAGTATCAAAAGTATCTAAAGACGAATTCTCCCTGCTTTAAAAATTAAAAACACATTTTGATGCAGGGCTCGAGCTCACGAAACAGAGGATCATGACCTGAGCTGAAATCAAGAGTTGGGTGCTTATCCGACTGAG